ATTGCTGCCGTTTGAACGGATGCTGCGTTCTTTGTCAGGGGAGATGCGGTCTAGCCAAGGTAGCTTCTCCTGTATTGTTGCCAGGTTTTCCTTCTTGCACGTGGCATGACTGTAAATAAGGATGACACCCCTGTGGCATCCTAGTTGCAAAACATGGCACAACAGAACGAGATTAGCCCACACAACATGCCTGGTTAATCAGTTCCTGATCTCTCTTAAGAGGAGGCATTGAAGGGTGCTCTCTCTTCTGATCTCAGATCCTATTCTGAAATGGGAACGAGCCATTAGCTGCATTCCATGTTTTAATTAAAAAGGAAGACGTCCCTTTAAACAGCACCTGCATGTTATATAAAAGCACTAAGATGCCAATTAACAAGGAGACAGATGGAGGCAGGTAAAGCATGTAGAGTATAATTTGACAACATGGGCTTTTTCAGAAGCAATTTAAATTCATCTGGAAGAGGAGGAGGAGGAGGAGGAGGAAGCAAAAAAGAAAAAAAGCATCTCTCTGAAGAAGACATGCATTATGGTACCCAAAAGAAACCCCCAAGTAGGAGGCTGTTAAACAGCTACATGCCCTCGTTCCTTGCCAATAAAAACTAAGATGCCAGAGCTGCAGATGAAGTTTACACTGAGCCCAGGGCCCATCTGTTGGATCTGGAACTCATTAACTCCTTCCAGTTATCCATCTGAGGAGCCTTTGAGCATCCAGAGAGCATTCTCAAGATTAAAACTATTATTTTAATATTATTAGAACAGAATAACAGAATTAGTGGGAAGGGAACTTGGAGGTCATCTACTCCAACTCCCTGCTCAGGCAGGAAACCCTATACCATTTTGGACAAAGGGTTGTCCAATCGCTTCTTAAAAATGTCCAGTGTTGGAGCATCCAAAACTTCTGAAGGCAAACCCTTCCACTGAATAATTGTTCTAATTGTCAAGAAATTTCTTGTTAGTTTCTAGGTTGGTTCTCTCCTTAGCTTCCATCCATTGCCCCTTAGATATTGGAACAATGCTATCATGTCACTTGTTAGAGCGTGCACAGTCGTATTGCGCGAGGAGTAAACCCAGGAGTAAACACAGTAAACAGTGGTCTATATTAAATGGTGGTTTATCTTACACTATCTACAATATCATATACCAGGAACAATATACATATGCATGCTAATACAGCAGGAGCCAACAAACCACAGGTACAGCAGGAAACGGAAGAGGGAGAACACATCAGCAGAGCCTTCCCTTTATACAAAGGCTCTCAAAGAGACACAGACCCTGCTGAGTCATTCTCATCATTACATCATAAATCTTACATTACGTAAGCTGGTTAGCTGTTAAATCAATACCTTGACATCACCCCTAGCCCTTGTTTTCATTAAACTAAACATACCCAATTCCAGCAACCATTCTTTATATGTTTTAGCCTCCAGTCTCTGGCCTATATAATATATCTAAAATTGAATACAATTTAATAAATTAGGATTTACAGTCTTTTTCCAGATAACTGGAAGCATTGAAACATTCTAGCGTCTTTTGTGCTTCACAAAATTCCAAGTTACATCTCATCCCATCTCCAGTTTAGTTCAATTATTAGAAAGTGAGTTCTCCATTGGTTGCAAAATCCTTCAGTAAACACTGCTGGGCAGGAAACTACCATATGAAAAATAGGTTTGGTTCCAAATTTGATCCTGGACACAGCATATATGTCCTAAGTCCATTTATCTATAGGAAGAACCTATGAGTACCCAGACATTTTCAGTTTTAAAACTATTATATGAAGAAGGGGTGACATGGTAGCAGTGTTCCAATATTTGAGGGACTGCCACAAAGAAGAGGGGTCAACCTATTTTCCAAAGCACCAGAAGGCAAGACAAGAAACAATGGATGGAAACTAATCAGGGAGAGAAACAACTTAGAAGTAAAGATAAATTTCCTGACAGTGAGGACAATTAATCAGTGGAATGATTTGCCTTCAAAAGTTGGGGGTGCTCCATCAGTGTAGGCTTTTAAGAAGAGACTGGACAGCCATTTGTCTGAAATGATATGGGGTCTCCTGGTTGAGCAGGGGGTTGGATTAGAAGACCGCCAAGGTCCCTTCCAACTCTGTTATTCTGTTATTTATTCTGATTTACAGTCCCTTTTCAGATAACTAGAAGCATTGAAACACTCTAGCATCTTTTATGCTTCATAAAGATCCAACTCATCTCAACTCCATTTAAATTCAAGAATTAGAAAGTGGTTCCCCATTGACTGCAAGACTCTTCAGTGGACATTTTTGGGCAAGAAACTGCATATGACAAACAGGTTTAGTTCCAAGCTTGATCCTGGATACAGGATGGAGGCCTTGGGTGCCGAATCCTCCAATGACCTATTTTGTTCATCTGTGACTTGTTTGCTGCAGATGTTGCCTGCAGTGAAGTGCAAGGCGACCGCGCCTTTGCTTTTATTTTTAATTTCCCACCATATGGTGAAGGAGCCTTGCTCCTCCACCTTCCCGAGAAATATTAAGAATGTCTAGAACTACCCTGGTGCTGGACCTCTTCAAAAGGGAAGCTCCAGAGATAGGGGGGCCACCCAGAAGAAGCGTGCTGTGCTTGAATTAGTCTTTCATTTGCACAGATCAATGAGAGAGCAAAGCCACTGAAAACAATCTCTCTCTCTCTCGTTTGTTTTCTCTCGTGTGTGTGTGTGTGCGCGCACTCACACGCATGTGTGCGTAAGATAAGCCTCCAATAGCTATATGAATTCTTGACTAGCTGCCAGGAGTTTACAATGCTCTCTGCTGCTAAGATTCCGCTGGTCTCTACAGGGAAGGAGGCTTGTAATTTCTTACAAATCCTATTTATGATCCGGCTGTTATCTCCATCTGGAAGGAGATCTTAATTTTAGCCCACCCCACTCTCTATTTATACGTTGCAGTCTGGCAATGGTATGTTTTATTTTAAAACCTCTGTTTCCCTACCTCCGGGCTAACCCTCCCTTTCTTTTCTCCTTCTTTCAAAAACTAGCAGACAAAGGTAGCGACGATTTCTACTCCAAACGGCGTCATCTGGCCGAGCTGGCTGCGAAAGGGAGCTTACCTCTGCACCCGGTGCACGTGGAAGAGGACCGGCCCTACATTTTGGAAGGGGGCACCATGAAACAAAACGGACAGAAGTCCAAAGCCGCCAGGCCACATATGCACCCCTTGGCTTACAAGACCTGGGATCCTAGCGACCAGTCCCTTCGGAGGCAAGCTTACGCCACCAAAGGGAGGAATCTCATGGGCGATCCCGCCGCCAGAGACCCACTGACCACACGGAGTCAGCACTATTTACCCACACAGCCATATTTCATCACTAACAGCAAGACAGAAGTGACTGTTTGAGAACAAATTCCCTCTGGGCTCCTTTTTTAAAAAATGAAAAACAAAACAAAGATCTGTCAGAGGACCACCGTGGGGAAAAAACAAAACAAAACCAACAACCCAGGTTTAACTTGAAGCGAGGGAAGTCCAACGTCCCTGGTTTGAAGAGAGGTGGGCACTTGTCAAAGACTGGGTCAGCGCTATATAGCAATATTTCCGAAGTTTGCTGAAACTTTTCTATTTCACCTGGGAAACTGACCCCCTTCCAACTGAATTTCCCTTCCTTCTCCAAACTGAGATCCATGATGAGAAAGTAGCACAACTTAGAGACACCATCCATTGGCTTGAGAAATCTTTCCGCCTTCCAGGAGGGGAAGGGAAGACTTTGATACAGCCAGGATTATTCCTGTTATTACGAGGATTCTTATTCTTATTATTATTGTTTTGTTTTGCTACAACTTTTCAGAATGTTCTCCAGTCACTCGACCTGTGAACAACAGAAGGCTGAAACCAAGAGCAAAGACCGAAAGGGCATAATCTTGATGAGCGCCCGGTTGTTTTTGGGTACCACCGCTTAACAAAGCAAGCAAGCAAGCAAAAAAAAAAATACGTGGAGATCACCCATCTCGCGTTACGAAAGAGCAGAAACTCTTTACAAGACTGTTACCATTCAAGGAATTACTAAGACTTTCTCATCAATTGAAAAGCTTTTGTGTTTTCCAGTCTTATGTCATCCGTTTTTCCAGATTCGTACAGGCCAAGAGTGACATGGTCAGGAACCCCTTCTCCTGCCCTAAACCCTTCATCCCACAGCCGTGCACTCAAGTTAGTTTCTCTCCAGCCTGCTTGGCGCTTTTTTTTTCCTCTTAACCTAGTTAATTATTCCGAGTTTTCAATTACTTTGGGACGGACAATAACTAAGCGTGGGTGGTGCCTTTACCGTATTATTAATGTTTGATGACTGTCTTGTTTTTAAGTGAAATCTGTACTGATTTCAGATGCTTCCCTCACCTCTAAGGCTTCTGTTCCCAAATGTCCTTCTTTCTTTTCCTTTTTTTTAAAGCTGAGAACGTCACATTTTACAATGGATTTTGTTTTGTTTTGTTCTGTTTGCAAAGCCTGGAATTGTCACTCCTTCCTGATCTTTTCTCCTGTTGAAAACTGACTTCCCCTGCCCTCTGATTTTCGGAGTATTTTGTTGTTGCTGTTTATGTTCCCTTAAAACTTGTTTAAGTCTGTTTTGAATATTTCTCTCTTCCTTCCTTCCTTCCTTCCTTCCTTCCTTCCTTCCTTCCTTCCTTCCTTCCTTCCTTCTTTCCTTCCTTCCTTCCTTCCTTCCCTTCCTTCCTTCCTTCCTTCCTTCCTTCCTTCCTTCCCTCTCTCTCTCTCTCTCTCTCTCTCTCTCTCTCTCTCTCTCTCTCTCTCTCTCTGCTGATTGTTATTTGCAGGTCTCTGAGGGAAGAAAGGGACACGCGGGTTGGAGAATGTGGCCTGTGATCACTTCCCCTTAAAAGAAGGCTGTATGTAAAAAAAAACAACTGTTTAAAAATATAGTTATTTCAATGTGTTTGTTCATGTAAATAAATCCACAGAAACAGCTGGGGATGTTAAGGGACTGCTTGGATGGGTGACACCAAAGTTGAACAAACCAATGAAAAGGGCAAGGGTGTCTCCTGGACCCCTGATTTCGGTGGTCTCAAAATTTCCACAATCACTGTGCATTTACCATATCTTGACCAGCAAGTTTCCCCCCCTGTTCTCCTTCAGAAAGAACATTCTGGAACATGGATTACATTGTATTTCTCTTTTATTTCCTATCTTGTGTCTTTCTGTTCTCTAGTTCTCTAGGCCTGATCTTGTGTTATATATCAGATCCAAGTTGCAGAAAATCCTTATGACCCCTGCGTGACACCTACAGAGAGTCCTCGATTTACAGACATTTGCTTGGTGGCCATTCAGAGTTCCCACAGCACTGGGAAAAAGTGGTTCACAACCTGTCCTCACACTTATGACCAGTGAACATCCACGCACGTCACATGATCAAAATTCACACGATCAAAATAAATACACTGGGCGTGAATTTATGATGGCTATAGAGCCCCAGGATCGTGTGATCGTCGTTTGTGATCTTCCCAGCCGGGTTTCGGTGAGGGAAGCCAGATGTACTTAAAGACCACATGGATCACTTACTAATGGAAGGGATTCACTTAACAACCACAGCAAAAAAAAAAGGTTGTTAAAATCGGGCGTGACTCGCTTATCTGGAAATTCTGATCCCAATTGTGATCGTTAAGTCGAGGACTTCCTGTATCTGTTTTGGCCAAATAAGGGCCATCTGGATTTCTTCATCCCAGAACTGGTCTGCCCAAGAGTGGGTGACTTGGTTTTCCCTCAGCTTAAGGGCATCTTCCCTAATGGATAGTGCTTGCTACTAGGAGTAGAGTCATTGCCACTAATGGAAAACTCGTAAGCTTTTTTAAGTAGGGCTACTCACTGTTTCTGCCATACTTTCTGTCTGACTCTTAATCCATCTTCCTGCCCCTCTCCAGTTGACTACGAGGAGAGATAGAAGTATTTATGGGTTGGTTGCCAAAGAATTGTACTTGCTGACATTAAACCGATGCTCGTTGCTAGTCATTTTGATCCACTGTTTTACACCCTTTTGAAGATGGGCTGGGGAGGGAGAGAATTAGAGAGAAATTTATTCCCATTTCATTCATTTTGGGCACATGGGCTCCTTGAAAAACACCAGGACAGAAGTGGAAGGGCAGCAGGATGGTTATGAGAGCGAAGGGCTGATGAGGAACCTGGGCCAAGGACCACATTCAGAAGATTGAGAGGGAGGTGACAATGGTTGAGAATCGGCCGATCTATGTCTGTAACAAAGATTAATCTCATTTGATGACCGAGCTGCATCCTAGTTAGGGAAGAATGTGGGCGCTTTCTAAGCTTAATCCTGGCCTGAAGCTTTGTGGAGTTGATTTCTGAGCTTCGTTCGTTCGTTCAAAAGAGCTTTGTGAACAACAGCACCCCAATTTTCAAGCTTGCATCTTGAACATTTGTTTCTATGTATGCAATGTATGTATTGTACATACAGGTAATTCTCAACTTACAACCACTCATCTAGTGATCAAAGGTATAACAGCCCTGAAAAAAAGTGACTTATGATCATTTTTCACATTTACTATCACCGCAGCATCCCCATGGTCACGTGACAGTTGGCGACTGGTTCACATTTATGACGGTTGCCGTGTCCCGGGGTCACGTGATCCTCTTTTGTGACGTTCTAACAAGCAAAATCAATGGGGAAGCCAGATTCACTTAACAACTGTGTTACTAACTTAACAACTGCAGTGATTCAATTAACAACTGTGGCAAGAAAGCTCATAAAAGGGGGCCAAACTCACTTAACAACTTAGCAACATAAATTTTGGGCTCGTGTGTGGTCGTATGTCGAGGAGTATCTGCGTACAATATCATATACTTCCATCACATAAAAAGGGGTGGAAATGTCTCTAGGGGAGCCTGAAGCAGCCCAGCACAGTCCTGGTTAGATCATCCTGCCACAGATCCATCCTCCTACTTTTCTTAGGCTTTCTCATCCTTTCACCCCTCTCCTTTTAAACCAGGGGTGTCAAACTCACAACGTCACGTGACGTGTCGTGACCTATCGCAACTTTTCCCCCATTGCCGGCAATGGGGTGGGCGCAGTTTCGGCCTGACGCATCCAGCCCGCAGGCCGGCAGTTTGACACCCCTGTTTTAAACCACTTCCAACTCAACTTCTTTTGTCAATTTTAGGGCCTGCCTCCCAGTTCGTTCCAATTTAATGCTAAAAGAGCAACATGATCAAAGGCAAAAATGATCCCATTTTCAACCGTCCTATTTTCCCACCTTCTCTATTTCTGGTTACTATTCAAAAGGAAATCGGGGACTTCGTCATGTGGAAACATAGATCTGAACCAAAGTATCTCAGAATGCATTTTTAGATGTTCTGATTTCTGTCCTTCCAAGGATATTTTATAGGCTGGCTGAGTTGAAATCCATACATCTTAAGGTGGCCAAGTTTGAATAACGCCGCTTTACAGGATTTTTATAAATATCCTCTGCCGTTATTTGTTGAACTTTCTGGTGTCCTTTCCACAATTTAGAATTATGATAAATTTAAAGTAGAGGGTCAGTTTGCAAAATGGTAAAATATTGATGCTTCTGCCTCTTCCATTAGTAACACCTTTCCCCTAAAATGTCATTATTACTCTAAAACTGTTGGGAACCTGACCACCTTTTGTTCTGAAGAATAAATTCTTGGGGAATTTCTCCTCATTTAAAAAATAAATGGATATCTCCCCCCCCCCCTAGAGATAGTCTTGAGAATGTCTCCATGTTTTCCCCTCTGCCTTCAGAGATTATTGCTGAATTGCCTTTCATCCCAGCAGTTTGCTGGAGAAACTGTTAAATGATATTGGGATTTTTTAAGAACAATTCTTAGAGAATTACTTTACTCCTAGAAAAAGTGCTGGGAAAATTGTTGGAGAATGATCTTCTTCAACAGAAATATAGTCCAGGAAGAGTAAAGAGTTGCTTTGGGACTTGTCAATAGAGAAGACTCCAGTCAGTCCTTCAATGTTTTTTTTTTTCAACAAACCAAGTTGTGATCTTCTGCATGGCTAATGTGTGACCCCAAACCATTGGGGGCACAGATGAGACCTCCTCAATTCATACTTGCTAGAATGACCACCAGATGGCAGCTACACTTCATCTCTTTGCTGCCCTCTAGTGGTCATTCACATATGGAGTCCATGGTGCTCTCTGAGCTTGGTTTTTTACTTGCAGATGTTTCATTATCTGACTAGCTAACATCATCAGTGCTAGTGGGTATGGGATGGGCTCCCTGTTTGTATACAGTAGCTTCCACTGCCAATACTTATGGGGGGTATGGTTTTATCCTTGTTAGTTTCTTGCTTTAAGAATTGTTTTCTGCTGGATTGTTTGTCTGGTATTAATCCCTGCTTATCTGGGGAG